AAGACGAAATAAAAGGTGCTACCAGTATGTTAAAATAAATAAAAAAAAGGTATCATTTGTAATCTGCTTAAAGCTATATATGTTAAATTAGAGAATTCTGAAACTTACTAATATTCTTTTATAGGGAAGATGAAATACATTATTGTATATACCTACGACTATATAACTGAATATGGCAATGCATATGTTATATCAGATGAATACAGATGTAAGTATTGGTTTACTATTTGGACATGCTGCTGAGACATATATCTTATCATTACCAATTGTAAAAGATGCACGTTTCAAATGTCAAAGCTGACAAAAAGTAAATCAAGCGATTCAAAAAAACCTTGTTATTTTTAAACGCGAAGAAGGTGCAATTGACTTCAAAGGCTAGACAGCGATTAATGGTATGACAAAATTAATAAATCGCTTGGATGACAGACTTGAACTAACAGAAAAGGGACAGAGCTATGTTATTCAAATTCGGCAAGGTTTAGTTCCAGATCTCTATATTTGGCATTGGGTTTTTTACTATGCAGGTGATGGGAATTGTCAGAGAATATGTAGTGGATTCGGAAATTGTGTACTCAATTGTCCAAATTATCAAATGAAAAACAATTTAAAAAATGGCAATGATATGCACAAGTGCAAAGTTTGCATAACTACCAAAGTTATGCTTAGTATGGTTGCAGAAAGATTTCCCATTAAATTATATATCGAAGGTCAGCATATTCCTACCAACATTTCTATTTAATATGAATCAGCTATTACACATTTAAATCTTAGTAGAACTGTAAAGAATTAGGTAATTTTAAGTCGATATGCAGATGGATGTACAGCTAAAGAAGTGAAGCTCAAACTATTAACTCCATTTAATGGTGCATCAAAAGAACAATTGGAGCAACAAAAAAAATATGGAGTTAATATATGTAGTGAATAAAAAATTCAATAGTTAATAGAATGAAATAGTCGATATAGTCATGATTATAGATGCTAGTGAAATATAGTAAAATGTGGTGAAATAATTTCACCACTATTGGTGAAATTGGTGAAATTAGTGAAATTAATTTCACCAGTATCTATAGTCATGATGTAGGTCCGTGGACAATTTTACATGGTTTAGTTATGAATGAATTGAAGGAAAAAGGATTCGTTCTTTATTATCAACAAGAGAATCAAAACTTTCCTTTAAATTCTCCAGAACACTATTATCAACTTACTATAAGTGATAATATGTGGCTTGAACAAGCAAGAGATTATGGCTCATTTTGTTTTAATATCGATGCAAAGTATGATCTAAACAATAATTGAGCACCTATTCATACTCTTGTAGTAGAAGATGGAGGAAATTGGGACACACCTATAGGATTTGCATTATCTAACAAAGAGAATATGCATACAATAAGGCTTGTGGTTGAAGCAATAAGAGCAAATATACCTTGTAAAAATATAAATTGTGACCATCCATATGAATATATTGCACTACCTAATAATAAAGACTTTAAACATATACGGCCGTGTGCAATTGAATAGAAACCTTTCGCAATGATGGACAAACACAGACCAACAAAGGCTGCATTAAAGCCTATTCTTCGAGGTACAATACTCTGTTGGTTTCATATAATGCAGACTTTTAGAAATTATTTTCGAACACAAAAAATTGATTGGAGCTTACAGTAATGCATAGTTTTACATATTTTTTATATTAATTGTAGCATCTTATGCCAAAATTGGATTATGATGAAATGTTAAACGTATATTAATAATATTATTTATATATATTATATTATTTATGCAGATACCCGATAGCATTAGCATTCAAAATTATTGGCAGATACAGAAGTGTAACCGAAGCCAAAAAAATGGCAATCGAATATAAAAATTTTATAAATTTACTTCCAATTTCTACCCAAGCAAAAGCATTTTTTATACATGATCTTGAGGAAAATTGGCTCTGTAAAGAGTGAATTCTTGGTTTCATTAATGGCGGACGCTTATCTAGTTAGAAAGATAGACCTCATGCAAAGCCATGGACTACTAATAATTTTACTGAAAGGATGAATAGAACTATTGAAGAAAGATATTCAAGTACCCAAACAGTATTAACTTTCATCAAACATCTTTATGGTATCAGGGTTTCTCGCTCAAACTTTATGGAGAATTGTAATTAGTTGGTTTTTAGTGCAGGGCTTGTTATATACTAGATTTCATACACTATTGAGCACCAAAATGGGCTATACAGATTGCAATCTGATATAGTACATCGTATAAATCAGGGGAAATTGAAAGTATTATAGAATAACATTCTTGAAGTTTTAGACAACCCAGACTTTTTATATGTGCATATGAATAATTACAAGCAAAATACTTTTCGATCTCTGTATACAGCAGATAAGATCAGGTTTGAAGATAGCGAAGCTCAAGGAGTGTCTAAGATGATTAAAAAGCTTGCAGAAAAGCACATGGTTCCAATACTTCCTGATTATTACCTAGTTAATTATATTACAGGTGAATGTACCTGTCTTGATTTCATTTGGCATGGATTATTTCGTCTTCCCTATAACAAAGTATTGGTAAGTTTTAGATTTTTCTGATTTAACGCACATAGCTTTAAGTATATTCTAACGATACCTTTTTATTTATTTATTTAATTTAATAAACCAGTGGCACCTTTTATTTCATCTGTCCTACAACAAAGTATTTGTAAATTTCAGATTTCCCTTATTTAACACACATAGCTTTAAGTAAATTACTAATGATACCTTTTTTTTTAATTTAATTCAATTAAATGCACTAGTAGCACCTTTTTTTATTTTAAATCAACATGCTAACAACACCTTTCTATCTCTTACTCCTCTCTTGTCTCCACTCTACTGTTTTTCATTCAACATATCCGGTTACAACACCTCAACCTCCAAATCCTCCAACTCCTCCTTAATCTCCACTTAATGCGATGACACCTTTATCTCTACTCAACAAACTGCTTCTTACATTATATGAGGTTTTTTTTCTTATTATTGTTGGGGAAAAAGAACCGATCTCTATACTAATTATGCTTTTTTTTTTTCTTTTATACTACAATTGAAATTATGAAATATTAGATGAGGGTATACTTGTGAAACAGTGCCTTCATCTTGAATATCATGACGAAGAACAACATTATGAAGAGAAAAATACGCGGTGGGTCCATAAGGAAAGTGACATATCACCATTCCATCTAAAAGGTTTAACCATTATGGTTATTATATTAATTAAATGAAGATAAAATTTTAAACCCAAAATTTACCTGGTTCGCCACGATGTTCATGTAATATTATTAGATCGGTGACTTCGTTGGCTCTGCAGGCATCGACCATATCTTTAATAACATAATTACCACGGTTTATACGTTGTGAATTTGGAATAATTAAACGTATTTCCTGTACAAAAAAGAAGTTACAAAATGACAACTACAAAATAAAATGAACTCATATGTTTATTTATTACCTTTGCAAATTGAGCGAGCCTGCTACTCGGATCACGTGAAGTTGTGATGAGTACTTTAGGATCATGTATTCCAGCTCGAGCATACTCATCATCAATATGTGAAGATGGCTCTAAATGATGCAAATAGATTCGAATTTACCATACAATAGATTAGAAATAATTTAAAAAGTTAAATACCTGTTTGTGCTTCGTCGAAATTGAGATCTTTTTGAAGCTTAGCGGCTTCATAACGTAATTCATGGGGTATTCGATTTCCTTCTATTATAATTAAAGATGATTGATTGGTAAATAATATTTAATTCATTCATTCCAAGATCCAATATTGATATGGTTGATATTACCTTTAATAGCTTCTTTTATTTTTTGCTTCTTTTCATAAATTTGCTTTTCTTTATTTTCCAATGACTTTCGATACAAATATTCTCGTCTAAGGCGTGTTTGTCTGCGAATCTTTTAAGTAAAATTATTTAAAGAAAGTAAGACATTTTTATTTCGAGGATGCAAAGAACATACCATGTTGAAATCGTTGACAAAAAATTTTTATAGTCGCACAATCTATATAAATAACAAAAGTTTTGGGATCGCGATCTAATTGGCTAGACGCTCACACAGCATTCACGAATTTTGACAGGGCGTAGGATCGGTTTACTGTCACGTGATAGTCGGAAAACAAACAACTACCCCAACGGCACCCCGAAAAATTTTGCGATAATTAAATTCTTAAAAGTTTATTAATATTAGGTTTAATGTTT